GTGGACACACAATCTTCTACAGTGCGTTGAACAGACCTTTTCTACTAACCAAATCAAATGCCTTGGTAACATCAATAAAAGCAACGTACAGTGATTGATTTTGTTCACGACATCATTCCACACTGTGACTCTGGGTAAACTTTGTCTCATTGGATCTGGAGTCATCACGGAACAACTCTCACGAGTACTTTTCTAACAGTACACAGCAGTGATATTCCTCTGCAGTTATTGCAGTCACTCCGATCACCCTTGTTCTTGTACATAGTTATGATGCTTGAGTCTTTGAAGTCTTGTGGAACCTGTCCCTTTTGCCAGTAGAGTGTTATTAGCTGATGAACGTGTGGGGTTAGAAGTAGGAATTTCATCTCTGCCTGGGGCCTTGCCCGAAGCCAGTTCATCAATAGCTTTCATAACTTCTACAATTGTTGGAAATATGTCCAGATAGTCAAGAGCTGGTGGCGTCTTCATAAAATCAAGATTGTCATCTGTTGGGTTAGTATCGACTGAATACAGTTCCAGATAATGTTCCACACATCTATCTAGATGCTTCTTCTTGTCGATAATAATCCCTTCATTCAGACTTGTTAGTGGTGCACTTCTTTTAATAGTAGGACCGATGGCCTTCTTGATCCCCTCATACGTACGTCTGATATTACCACTACTGCTAGCACTGTGAATGCTTGCACATAACTGGATCCAGCAGTCGTTGCCACACTGTCTAGCTACCGAGAGTGTTCCATGTTGTTCTTTCCTTGTTTCTGACGACTTTAACCTTTGTTTCTGAGAAATATTGCCTTTTTACTGTCAATTAAAGGTTGGAGTGTCTGGCTATTTGCTTCAAACCAGTCCTTACTTCTAAGTTCTATGATCCCATAGACTGATACAGCTGTTTGGTAGCCAGTCTCCTTAATTGCATCTCATCATAAACTTGCCGTAGAATTATCATTGACATCAGTGAACGCATTTTCGAGCTGTTGTTGGAACTCAAAACACTTTTTCAGGGTCTTTAGTTTTGGGGATGCATTTGTTTTTTGAAGTGGAAATTCTCTTTGGCTTTATTCGAACTCTTGTAGCAACTAGCGAATGGTCAGTATCACAATCAGCACAGTAGTAACTGCGAGTTAGTGAAACACATTTCAAGTGCTGCCTCCTTGTGAGAATGTTGAATGTTGTAAGAATCGACATCATAGCATTCGGGACACCTCCATAAGCGCTCCGTCTCCATCTTCAGCAACAAACGAAAAGTTCCAATTCCGATGGGACCTCCTTGTGAGAATAAGGTCCGGCTGGTACCAGTGGCCAAATCTTGGATGTTTCCATGACACTTTATGGCGGTCTTTAGTTTTGAAAAAGGAGTTTGTGATGCAAAAGTCACTTCTAGTTCAGAATTCCGGTAGTCTCTGCCCAACAACACTTCGCTGACAGCCTTTGCCCGAGCAACACGTTGAACGCGCAAGCCCGCCTCGCCTGAACACGTTGCCCCGCTAACTATCCATTCGTTGCCTGATTTTCGATAACCAGCTACTGGACAGAATCGCTTGATATTCGGCTGAGTCTGTCTCGACTGAGTTATCGGAATCGGCTGCGGGTGGGTCATTAGCAGCCCGTGTACGCACCTAGCCAACGACAACCACCAGCAACACAGATCTACAAGAATCAACAGAGGAAGGAACAACGCCCTAGGTAATTATAATTTACATTATAAACTTTCTAAACCGAGACCTAGGGCGTGCGTTTAACCTCTAAATAAATTCGAGAAACTTTTTATTATCGTCGTAGAAAATGGACACTGCGCCCATTACGATTGAATCACCAGCACAGGGGACCGCTCCTCCGGGAGCCGACCCTTCAGGGGTGCCTGACGCCGCCTCAGTAGCGACGCAAGGACCCCCTCGCCAACGCAAGCAGCGGCAGCCTGAGACCAGCACACCAGACATCATGCAGTGCTCGCGCTGCAATAAGGCGTGGCATACAGCTTCGTCCTGCCGCAGCAGCCTCTCGTGTAGATACTGTTCTGGTACGCACGAGTTCAAGGAGTGCCCGCTGGCTAAAATTGACACTAATTTTAAAAGACCGAACAGCAACTGCAAGTGCTCCAACTGTTCCGGTGCGCACGGCGCGAGATACATGGGCTGCCCGTATCTCCAGCAGTGCAAAAGATCACTTAGAACCGCCCACGAAGCAGCCAGAGAGAGATACGTGGCACCCAGGTCCTCAGCAGCACCAAAGCAACCGAGTGGGAAGCCAGCACAACGGACAACAGACAGACTAACCGACAAAACGATCACAGCCGCAATGGACCCTGAAAAAATCTCTGAAATCTTAGCGGAAATCAGAGCTCTCCGCAAAGAAAAGTCCGACACCGACGCTGACAGAACGCAGATGCTAGACCTGATATCGCAGATGCGTGACGAAATCAAAGCACTGAAAGACGACAGACAAGAACAAGTATCGCAGCAAACGAAGTGGCTAGCAGAGGCTGCACGAATGCAAGAAAACCTGACAGAAATGACACAAAAATTACAAGCAGACAAAGCTGCAGACGAGACCCGCCGACAGGAAGAAAGGGAGGAGAGAAGAAAGGAAACCGAAGCACTTAGGGAAGCCCGCGAGAGCACTTACAAAGAAGTCACCCTTATGATACAGGCAAAAGCAGAAGCCGAAGCTGCAGTGCTGGCGGCAAGAACAGAGCGCGTCCTGCTAGAGAAAGCAAGAGAGATCTCCAGCAAACTGTAAAACAACCAAATACCGACAAAAAAGCACACT